AAGCTACGGTGGCGTCGTGTGGCTGGATATTAGAAGAGCTGAGCAGAGGTTTAACGTAGCTCTGCAGAGTGAGGAGCAGATGGTGAGCAATGGCTTGTGCCTGAGAATGGGAAAACGCTGGGAAATCACTCGCCAGCGATGCTGACGCTCTACAGAAACCTTATTACCTGGAATATGGGGCCAGATCGCAGCTCCAGTGCCCCGGCTGGATGGAGCGGAGCACCTTGGTCTGTGCTGCTGCTTGTGGCTGCATCAGGTCGGGGCAGCGGGAAGCTGAGGACTGGGGCTGAAACGGGGGACGGTTGCAGGGACAACACTCTCTTGGCAGAGTGGGATGTCCCGAAGGCCATGCGGGATGCCTGCGGCAAGGGATGTGTTTGGGGACTGCCACGTCCTCTGGGCTGCGCAGGCTAGGACTTGGAAAGGCATCTCCAACGTTGCCTTCCTACTCACAAAGCAGCAAGAGTAGAAGACACCTTCAAGGAAAACACTGAAAACAAGTAAATAGACGACAGGGACATTTCTGAATTTTCAGCAACCCCGAGCAATAAACCAGCAGCCTCAGCAGCGTCCCTTGATACCAGCGTTTGGGGAGATGCCACCATTCGTGGCCCCCATCACCCACCATCTGGGACTGACCACGTCTCAAAACCCACCAACCATCCTGCTGGTTGATTCAGCTATTTAGTGAAGGCAGGTTTAGCTCTTTAGTGCAAAAAAACTCAGCTCTGGGTGCAATCACCTGCCTAAAGCAATCGGGTGGGTCAGTGCTGGAGCGGGAAACCTCCCTGGGACTCAGCCCCTGCTGCAACCTCTCAAACCCGCTCCCGATCTGCAGGCTATTAGTGCACAGCCACGGCGCGACAGGTAAACGTGGCTTTGGTTAGAATGTCACCCAAAACCAATGCCAGGACCAGCATGGCTTGCTTACACACTGGTGAAGGAGCGCAGTGGTCCCCGCAGTGCCCCCACCCGCAGGGCACCCCGGCCGTCCTGGCACACCACCTCGTGCCTCGGCGCAGAGCTGCGATATTTTCCTTTCCCGGTCTAAAGTCCTCGCCGGGGAAACGCGCCCGTGACTCCGTCTGCACGACAACGTTATCGGTGCGAAGTGCACAAACACCACGAGTCAGACCCAAAACAAACACACCGTGAGCCGGGCCTGAAAACTCCCTTGGCGCTGCATTTGTCAGGCCTCTTTCTGCATCTCCAAGGCAAGGGTGAGGCTTATCTTCAGCCAGGGGTCGTGGACTTTGGGCATTAAAAGCCAACTGGCCCCGCAAGATGCATCGTGGCTGCAGGGAGTCACGGTGGGCACAAGGGTCACCGGGGTGGCTGCGGTGTCCCCTGCGTTCCCCGGGGAGGCTGCAGCGCTCCCGGCCAAAGGCCTGACTGTGGCTCGAGGATTGCTCACACGATGGCAGCATCGCAGCACGCTGCAGCGGGGATGCAGCCGACATCCCCATAATACACGCAAGCGGGATGCAGCAGCCATGCAGCAGTGACAGGCTCCTGCAGCCCTGCTGCGCCTGCCCTCCACTGCCAGGGAAATGCAGGTTGAGGACGGGGGATGAAGCCACCAAGGAGCCACCCCTCAAGCCCAGGACATCACCCACGGACTGCAGGGAACAAGCCCCCCTCTGCTCGCCCTGGCTGCAATCGGCTCCCGCGCAGGAGCCATCGCCCATTCCCCCCTCCCCCAGGACAGGCCATGGGCCAGGACACCCGGCGCTGTCCCCACCGCACAGGGACAGGCATCTGCTACAACCGGCGAGCAGCAGAAGCCACGCTGGGACCAGTATTGCACCTGCAGCTCAGCCACACTCCCAGCTGCCGGAGGGCACACAGAGCTTTTAAAACCATGGGTGGGTGGGTGAGCGCCCGCACCCTGTCCTTTGCATGCTCCAAGCGAAGGACAAAGCCAAATATTTGCCAGGAACCGCTCCAAGTGTGGCAAAGCCCGCTTATCTCTGCCACCCTCCATAGGTACACTTCAATGCAGCATTCGATTCCCATTAGTACTGTATCACAGCTTCAGGTGACAGAGCTGGAGAGCCAGCTGGCTTCCAGTTGTGTTTTTCTTTCCCTCCCCCTCAAACTCTCCCTGTTTCAGACTGTGGTGGCTCTTACCTGCTCTGCAGCTGCTCACAAACCCAGACAGCTGTTTCTGTTAAAAAAGGGAAGAAAAAGAAAAGGTACATTTCTTCGTCTATACCCTCATTATGGTTTGCAAAACCAGAATTCATTGCAGGGCTTGTCTGAAAGAGTCTTTTCTTTCCCCTTTCCCAGTCAATCATAGCTGAAACAGCTCAAGCGGCTCCGACTGCAGAGATCAGCTCC